GCGCAAGTATCCAAGGGGCTTCTAATGCTTTTCGAACAGAGATGTCTTTCCCAAAATTAGAATTGTGCATGATGAAGGAGGCGTTTGGTGTGGAAAGTATGATAAAATGTGAATGAATCACTTTCAAGCTTCTGAAGAAGGCGTTGTGCCAAAATGTTGGGCTTTGAAAAAGTTTTCACTAACAACATGTAACAGCATACAAGAAAAAACAAGATATCTCAACTCTTATTTTATGAAGAAACCAAGGCCATGTAATTGTAAGCCACACTTCAAATAACATAAGAAACTGAACTTACGCAACTCCTACAGCACTGCTCCATCGCGCGTTCAATCTATCAATGTTGTCGATGATCTGCTGACGGCCAACAGCACGTCTCCCGGCAACCACACCATCTTGCTGCTCGTCGTTTTCCATAGACAGACGGACCTGGGAACCAATTATCAAGTTAGCTCCAGCGCAATAATGCTACAAACCTGCTGCATGTACTTATCTGTGGATTCAATGCAGGTATGAAGATTATTGGCGATTGCGATCTGTAAAGCAATAAATCTCTTAAAAAAATCAAATGAACAGAGCAAGATTGGTACCATCGTTGATGTATATTCTCTAAAGTTACTTCTGTTTTCAAAATACTTGTTTCGGTAGGCGGTGAACGCATCTGGAATACACTCGATTTCAGATGTGAAAATTTCTTCTGCAAAAACAGAAACCTTCTTTACCTTTATATCGATTCGCGAAAACGAAAAATTCCTCAATTGTTAGATTGATGATGTTAGGAATGACTTCAACACTTACTTCCTTGGCAAGAGTAACCTGGCAAAACCTTTTTCAAATTGGAAAACTTTTAACAAAAAACCAGAACACAACAGCGATGATAACAATAGTGATTACTAACCTCTACAAACTTTTTTCTTCAGAAAACTAGATATATTAAGAGAGATAAAACCAAATGGTAATCCCTGTCTGCTGTCTTTTAAAAGATGTTTTTTCCACTACAAGCGTCGCCACAGAGATGCCTAGAAGCGTTGAGAAGGTTTACTCACCCACAACCCTTATTGTTAAAGGGGAAAAGCAGTGATATTTTACTTGAAAGTAGTCATGGCACATGTAAATTGGAATTAGTTACCATCTAGTAGGAAGTCAATGCCCAAAACACGTTATTCCATCGCCACATGATACATATCCATTCAGAAACCACTTCCAGAACTGAGACTTAACCGAAGAGCAAAAAGATATGGAAAGCAGCCACTAGCAAAAATGATACGACAACGTTAAATTATTAACAATTTAATCAGTAATGAAGAAAAATTTTCCTTCTTTTCAAGAATTGTGGAGAAAACTAAATGACTAAGTGTGTGAGATGGTGAGCATGATCCGCATACAGCGGACCATTATCATCGCCCTGACCTCGAGGCTAGCTAGGCGGGCGGCGTAGATGAGGTCCCAAAAACATGCCGCCTAACACCGGAGGTGGCAATTAAAGGCGCGAGCTATCCCGGATATATCTGGCAACTTTCCACAAGCTGGGTGCGACTACACCCTCCGCGCCCTCAACTGGTGTGTGTCAAACCAAATGTGTGCACAAATGAAAGTTCTCTATATAAGGAAGAAATAAACCATATGCTGAGGTTTGAAAGGCGAAAAAAA